CTGCAGTTTGATTTAGCTGAATGAAACACATTTTGAGCTCCTGCTTTTGCTTTAAATACTATTTGAATAGCAGTATTTGAAAAAGAAAATGCTGAAGAATAGAATCTTTTCTGTAAAATAGAAGGCAGTTACCGAACAGAGCCAGAAGAAGCTAGTGATCAAGATTTTGGTCATGAGAGGGGCGCCTGGGTGGCTCAGTTGGTTAGGTGACTGCCTTTGGCTCAGGTCATGATCCCAGGGTCCTGGGATCGAGCCCCGCGTCAGGCTCCCTGCTCGACGGGGGGCCTGTTACTCCCTCTCCTTCTACCGCTCTCCTGCTCTCTCTCTCTGCCAAATAAATAAAATAAATAAATAAAATCTTTAAAAAAAAAAAAAAGAGTCTGGTCATGAGAATAGAAACCAGGTCTCAGAGGATCAGAGGGAAGAAGAACCAGAAAGGCAGAATATTTGATAGATCTGGCCATCAGAAGGAGGAAGAAAACAGAATGGTGGCCAGAAAGGAATAGTATATCTAAGGGTCTCTTTGGAAATTGGGAGATCCATGGATACCACATAAAATTACTTATGAAAGTACAGTTTGAAGAAAATTAATCCATTAATCTTTGAAATAATATAATTTTTAAAAAAGATTTTATTTATTTGGGGGAGCAAGAGAGAGAGAGCATGAGCATAGGGAGGGGCAGTGGAGAGAGAGAAGCCGACGCCCTGCCAGCCAGGGAGCCCATTGTGATGCAGGGCTTGATCCCAGGACCCTGAGATCATGACCTGAGCCAAAGGCAGATGCTTAACCGACTGAGCCACCCAGGCACCCCTGAAATAATGTAATTTTTAAAATTATTTATTTAATTTTATTTATTTAAATTAAAATTTAAAATGATATCTGTTAAAACACCAGAAACCCTATTTCTTCACTCTTCTGTCTCCATCTCGAACACGTGTGTGGTTACTGAGTATGAGTGGTCAGGGCTCACATAAGCTCAGGAAGCACTTATGTACCTGGTAGTATGTTGGGGCTATAACAAGACGTCAGTCCCCAGGTGAGATGTGAACAAGGTCATTGTTTGTATATTCCAGCCACTGACATTTCCTTTCGCTTTTTTTTTTTGCTATGGTTTCCACCAAGACTTGTGTTTTCCGAATATGAAATCAGAATTCTGTCTTTGCTTTTTTCAGGCACACACATGCTGACTCTCTACCCCTCCTGCATTTCTGATCTTTTTCCTCCCCAATTGGGGTGGGCTGGGGTGACGGGTCCTTACGCTCCAGGGTCAAGTTCACTGGGTGCCATGTTAGCAGCATTTGTCTGTCTTTAGCTCCTCTGGAGGTCAGTGGGTTCATAGGAAGTAATAGATAACTTAGGCAGATGGAGGCTTTAGGCCAAGTGAAGCAGGGGTCGTTGTTTTTTTAAGTGTTAATATGAATAAGTGCAGCAGTTCTTGAAGTAGCTATGGGGACCCCTGGAGGTCTCTCTGGAGAACCTTTTAGAGGGTCTGCAAAGTCAATACTATTTTTGTAATATTATTAAGACAGTACTTTTTCCATTCTCTTTCATGAACCTAAAGTAAAATTTTCCAGAGGCTGTATGACGTGTGACATCACAACAGATTGAATATATGATATATGAGAATTTCATAAAAATGTTATTTATATTAACATGTAATGGGCTTATTTTTTTCAGTTTATTGTGATAAAATACACATAACATAAAATTACTCTTAACTATTTTTAAGTGTGCGTTTCAGTAGTATTGAATACATTTATATTGTGCAACCATTACCATCATGCATCTCCAGACCTATTTTCATCTTGTAAAACTGAAACTCTGTATCCATAAATACTAATTCCCCATTCCTTCCTTCCCCCATTCTACTTTCTGTCTCTATGAATGTGAACTCTCTAGGAACCTCATAAAGTGGAATCATGTAGTACCTGTCCTTTTGTGTCTGGCTTGTTTCATTTAACATAGTGTCCTCAAGGTCCATCCATGCTATAGCCTTTGTCAGAATTTCCTTCCTTTTTTTTTTTTTAAAGATTTTATTTATTTATTTTGAGAGACAGAATGAGCTAGAGAGAGCATGAAGGGGGGAGGGTCAGAGGGAGAAGCAGACTCCCCGCCGAGCAGGGAGCCCGATGCGGGACTCGATCCCGGGACTCCAGGATCATGACCTGAGCCGAAGGCAGTCGCTTAACCGACTGAGCCACCCAGGCGCCCCAGAATTTCCTCCCTTTTTAAGACTGAAAAATATTCTACTGTATGGAGACACTACTTTAGGCTTATCCATTCATCGCTCTGTGGACGCTGGGGTTACTTCCACATTTTAGCTATTGTGAATAGTGCTGCTATGAATGTGGGTGTACAAACATCTATTTAAGTCCCTGCTTTTGGTTCTTCTGGGTACATACCCAGAAATGGAATTGCTTGATCATATGGTAATTCTATTTTTAATTTTTTTGAGGAACTCTGTACTGTTTTCCACAGCAGCTGTACCATTTTACATTCCTACCAACAGTGCACAAGGTTTCCAGTTTCCCTACATCCTTACTGCTTGTTGTTGTCTGGGAGGTTTTTTTTAAGATTTTATTCATTTATTTGAGACAGAATGAGAGAGAGAGAGAGAGCACATGAGAGGGGGGAGGGTCAGAGGGAGAAGCAGGCTCCCTGCCGAGCAGGGAGCCCGATGCGGGACTCGATCCAGGGACTCCAGGATCATGACCTGAGCCGAAGGCAGTCGCTTAACCAACTGAGCCACCCAGGCGCCCCTGTTTTGTTTTTTTATAGTAGCCATCTTGATGGGTGTGAAATGGTATGTTGGAGTTTTGGTTTGCATTTCCCTAATGATCAGTGATGTTGAGCATCTTTTTTATGTGCTTACTGGCCGTTTGTACAGTTAACCCTTGAACTACATGGTTTGAATTGGGCAGGTTTACTTATACGTAGATTTTTTTCTTTAAATGCAGTAGAGTACTATATTTTCTCTTATCATTTTTGTAATACATTTTCTTTTCTCTAGCTTACTTTATTGTAAGAACACATACAACATACAAAACATGTGTTAACTGTATTATCAGTAAGGCTTCCCATCAACAGTAGGCTATTAGTAAAGTTTTGGGGGAGTCAGAAGTTATTCATGGATTTTCAACTTGGAGGGGGCAGTGCCCCTACCCCCATATTGTTCAGGAGTCCACTGTAGATCTTCTTTGGGGAAATGTCTCTTCAGGTCCTTTGCCCATTTTTCAATTGGGTTTTTTGTCGTTGAGTTGTAGGAGTTCTCGCTATATTCTTGATATTAATCCCTTCTCAGATCTATGATTTGTAAGTATTTTCCCCATTCTCTGGGTTGCCTTTTTACTCTATCGATATTGTCTTTTGATGCACAGAATTTAAAAATTTTTGTGAAGTCTAATTTGGCTATTTCTTTTGTTGTCTGTGCCTTTTGTGTCATATCTAAGAAATCACTGCCCAGTCCAGTTTTGTGAAGCTTTTACTGTATGTTTTCTTCTAAAACATTAGAAGAAATTTAAAATTTAAAACCAGTTTTAAATCTTACATTTCGGTGTTTGGTCCATTTTGCGGTAATTTTTGTAGATGATGTTAGGTAAGAGTTCAGTTTCATTCTTTTGCATGTGGATACCCAGTTTTCCCAGCACCATTTGTTGAATATTATGTTGAAATGAATCTTACTATGTTCAGTACTTATTTTTACAATTTTTCAGTTTTCATTTGTAATAAGGTAAATATTAATAGATATAACCCACATTTGGGATCATTAGTAATCTTTAAGAGTGTAAAGGGAACCAAAAAGTTTGAGTACTACTGACATAGAGGATCTCCAAGCACTTTCCCCAGACTTTTACTCCCTTTCTTCAGTGGTGCTTCTTATTGGATCTGGTCCTGAAGGATGCACAGTAGGAATACAGCCTCATCAGTGTGGGGTTAGATCATTTGTTGTCCTGGACCTCAGTTGCAAAGCTGAGTTAATTATGTTCTCCAGTTCCTGGCAAAGCCTCTTTCTTCACTTATGTTCCCTTTCATCCCCTGTTGTTACCCTCTCCCCCCATTCTGGATGTCCCTTGTTCCTAGAAGTCACTTTTATTCTAGAAAGGACAACATACCAGATAAGGACGCTGCTGCAAGTCCACTTAGTAAATATTAGTAAAACTGATTTTTTTTTTTTTTTTTAAGATAAGTTTGTATGACTAGAAGCTATAGTTCTTTCTTTCTGTATCTTAGTGGCTTGTTAAGACTGCTTGGGGTTTACTCACCCCTTTTTGAACAAAGGTGACCAGGTAATCCATTTGTTGTCTCTGTACATGTTTCACTTGGCCTACAGATTGCTGTGGAACTAGTCCCTTTTCCTTCTTTAACTACCTAAAGATCTTTTCTATTTTTTTTTAATAAAATGTTTTTAAAGTTTTAGATTGAACTCCAACCTATTAGTTCATATATTTACTTAATTATCAAACTCTTACTGTGTGCAAGACACTCTGAGCAAGGCATTCTGGGCTATATAAATCTGTAAAAGCTGTACATACTGCCCTTGGATCCCAGAGTCAGATAAAATTAAAATATTGGATTGCTTCTCAGCCTTTTGACTAAGAGCAAGTGTAGTATCTGTTCCTCTCAGTTTAATATCTGATACATCCTCTGTCTGAGGACAGTACATTAAATGGATTTGGGGAACTAGGAAGTGGAATAGGAGCTTGCTCCGTCCACTCCGTGCATTGACCTGGTATTGCAGTACTTCCAGGAATGGTGCAACCACCACCACTCCTGCCCTTGGATTAAAATTTAAAAATTAAAAAAAAAAAAAAAAAAATTGCCAAATAGGGAATAGATCTTCATTGTCCTACGTTTTTAGAAGTGTTTTCATTATATAATCAATCTCTCTCTGTTTCTCTCATGTCCCACATGTCTGGGCATTTACAAAACTATTACCAGTTAGTCTATAGTTACCAAATTTATAAAATCTATAAATATTTATTAATTTATTTTTTTCTAGGTTGCAATAAAAATAATTGACAAAACTCAGTTGAATCCAACAAGTCTACAAAAGGTAAGATTGGTTCGGTATCCAGTATTTTTTAAAATGATTTTCAGTGCTAATTGCCATCTAATTGGTCCCACCAATACCTCAACTGCTATTTGTATATATTACGTTTAGTACAATAAGCTTCCTATTTCTCGATGAATGCAACTTAGGTGTAGTATTATATGAAAAGTTGTTGGATTTTTTTCCTTCAGATGAAGATAATGATTTTTAAACGTTCTTAATAGCACAAATGGAAGGCTGTACATTTTAATTGAATATTCTGACTATTGACTAGAACAGTTTTTAAACGTAAGACAGAAATACTTTTGTGTAATTACTCTTATGCAGAGTTATATACCTTTCTCATAGCTAGTACTGAGGTCTTTAAAGTCAGCACTTTGGCTTTATTAAACTCTGTCACTATGGCTAATTAAGGACTGATGATTAATACATATGAAAGGAAAATATAAAAATACAAATGATAGTTGAAAACATGGTTGTAATGCACTGTTGCGAGTTGTATCATCTAACGGAGATCAGAAGTCCTCAACCTTGTTGCATGTTAGAATCACCTGGACCTCTCTGCAATGTCTTGATGACTGGCCCAGAGAGATTTAATGGCTCAGGTTAGGGCCTTGGCCTAGGTATTTCACTGGTGCATTCGTGAATGATTAATGATCTTCATAATAAAATGCTTCTAGTTCTTTTTAGTCTTGCAAAGCCTTTTACATCATTTGATTTCTAGATTTGGCCTATAGTAGTTGGGGTTTTAGAGACTAGGAACTAGGAACAGGAAATCTGAATTAAAATCCTGGGTCTGCCACGTAATCAAATGTCTAACTTGACCTTGAGCCAATTACTTAACTTTCTTTTTTTTTCCAGTTAACTTTCTTGACCCCAGGTTTCTGGTCTTCAAAATAGAGATAATTTCATCTTCTCAGGATGGATGTATTAATAAAATAATGCACTTAAAAGAGCTTTGTAAACTTCAAAGCATTTCACATGTAAGATATTATAAGCGTATTGCCCTATATAAATTCCTGATGTTTTCTTAATGGTTATTTTCCATTTATATCATCATAATTTTGAAGTCCTGTCTGTGTGTGTGTGTGTGTGTGTGTGTGTGTGTGTGACAGAGAGAGAGAGAGAGAGGTGGGGAGGAAGGGACTTTATCTTGCACTGAAAATGGTACTTAACAAGTGGTTCTGCAGGCCAGAGTGAGTCTTAATGGCACTCAAGGTGGCCTGGAATGGATCCAAAAATTCCAGTCCTTTCTTCTGAGGATAAAACTGTATCCATTACTTTAAACTTTTATTTCTTCATATATCTAAGGACTTGGCATTAATAAGTAAGTTAGGGGTTACTAAAATTTGGTATTCGGAACTAAAATTAGCATATAAAGAAGTTTACTGAGGGTTCTAGTTCAGTATCCTAATGATGTTACAAGTCTTCCACTATTCAGGCATCCTTGCGGATAACTGGAATTCTAGCAGTTTTCTAGGGAGAATTTTATCTTGGTTTTGTCTTTAGTTGGTTGTAATTTTTCCCTCCTTCCTTGCTTTTTTTTCATTATTTTGGGTAAGAGTGTTTTATTGCTGCTATTCTTTATTATTATTACAAATTACTGTTTGTAAACATCATTATCAGTTTAGTACATGATAAGTTGTCTGGTTAGCCTGATAATGTGATTATGCATATTTATATCAGCATTAATTTGGGCACATGATAATAATAGGTAAGACTTTAAGAAGCCAGATCTGTCCAAGTTAAATAACTTGATAAGTGTAGTATTTTAAGCTTATAGGGCATTTTATTTTTTATTTTTCTATTGAAGTATAATTTACATATAGTGTTACATTTCAGGTGTACAATATAATGATTCAGCAGTTCTATGCATTATTCAGTGCTCATCACGATAAGTATACTCTTAATCCCCTTTGTCTTATTCATCCATCCCCCACGCACCTCCTCTCTGGCAACCACCAGTCTGTTCTCTGTATTTAAGAGTCTGTTACTTTGGGACACCTGGGTGGCTCAGTTGGTTAAGTGTTCAACTCTTGGTTTTGGCTCAGGTCATGATCTCAGGTTGTGGGATTGAGCCCCCTGTCGGGTGGGCTCCACACTCTGTGCAGAGTCTATTTGTCCCTCTCTCTGCCCTCTGCCTCTCCCCTTGCTCTCTCTCTAAAAATGAATAAATAAAATCTTTTTTTTTTAAGTGTTGTTTGTCTCTTTTTTCTTTGTTCATTTGTTTCTTAAATTCTACATATGAGTGAAATCATGTGGTATTTGTCTTTCTCTGACTTCACTTAGTATTATACTTTCTAGGTCCATCCATGTTGTTGCAAATGGCAAGATCTTGTTCTTTTTTATGGCTGAGTAATATTTCTGTGTGTGTGTGTGTACGTACACGTGTGTACATCTTTACTTATTCATCTGTGAATGGATACTTGGGTTACTTCCACATCTTGGCTATTGTAAATAATGTTCCAAGAAACATATGGGTGCATATATCTTTTCAAATTAGTGTTTTCATTTTCTTTGGGTAAATATCCAGTGGTGGAATTACTGGATCTTATGATAATTCTATTTTTAATTTTTTGAAGAACCTCCATGATGTTTTCCATAGTGGCTGCACCAGCTTTCATTCCCACCAGCAGTGCATTAGGTTTCCTTTTTCTCCATGTCCTCTCCAACTTTTGTTTTTTGTTGTCCTTTTGATTCCAGCCATTCTGACAGGTGTTAGGTGATATCACATTGTGGTTTTGATTTGCATTTCCCTGATGCTGAGCGATGCTGAGCATCTTTTTCATGTGTCTGTTGGCCATCTCTATGTCTTCCTGGGAAAAATGTCTATTCAGATCCTCTGCCCATTTTTATTGGATTATTTTTAGTTTTTGGTGTTGGGTTTTATAAGTTCTTTATATATTTTGGATATTGACTCCTTATTGGATATATCATTTGCAGATATTTTTTCTCATTTGGTAGGTTGTCTTGTTGATGGCTTCCTTTGCTGTGTAAAGGGATTTTATTTTGGTATAATCTCAGTAGTTTAATTTTGCTTTTGTTTCCTTTGCCTGAGGAGACAGATCTAGAAGAATGTTTCTGTGGTTGATTTCAAAGAAATTATTGTTTTCTTCTAGGAGTTTTATAGTTTCAGGTCTCATATTTAGGCCTTTAATCACTTTTGAGTCTATTTTTGTGTGTTGTGTAAGAAAGTGGTCCAGTTTCATCTCTCTCTTTTTTTTTTTTTTTTTAAAGATTTATTTATTTACTTGAGAGAGCGAGAATGAGAGAGAGTACAGGAGAGGGGGGAGGGTCAGAGGGAGAAGCAGGCTCCTCGCTGAGCAGGGAGTCCGATGCGGGACTCGATCCCGGGACTCCAGGATCATGACCCGAGCCGAAGGCAGTTGCTTAACCAACTGAGCCACCCAGGCGCCCTCATCTCTTTTTTTTTTTTTTGAGGAACCTCCATACTGTCCACTTTCATCTTTTGCATGTAGTTGTCTAGTTTTCCCAGCACCATTTATTAAAATATAGGGCATTATTTTAAATCATGTGTATTAGTTCATATTCTTTTCTTATAAATTGGAAGCATTCTCTGTATATTCCTGTACAATTGCTTTTCACTGAATTCCTTTTCCATGGAAAAGTTGCCACAGGGTGGAATTTACATGGCGTCTTTTCTTTTCTTTTTTAAAGATTTTATTTATTTATTTGACAGAGAGATAGCGAGAGCAGGAACCCAACGGAAGTGGGAGAGGGAGAAGCAGACTCCCCGCTGAGCAGGGAGCCCGATGCGGGGCTCGATCCCAGGACCCCGGGATCATGACCTGAGCCGAAGGCAGACGCTTAACTGCTGAGCCACCCAGGAGCCCCAATATGGTGTCTTTTCCCTTGGAATAGTACTTCCTACTTTTTTCTTCCTCAGCGCCATGCACAGTTGTATCAAATCTGCATTAGGAACAGCTCTCTTTATATTGTGATTTTAAGCCTTGAAGCTTACACATTTCTCAGTGCTTATCATGGTGAGCCCCAACTAATGTACAGAATTGTTGAATCATTGTATTCTATACCTGAAACTAATACAGCACTTAGAAGGTAACGTTCACTTTAAGGAACATTCTGCCGGCAACAAAATGTAATCTTTTTGTACTGCCACTATCAAAAAATGTGGACTGGCTCATTTAAGGAGTGTTTTAACACAGGTGTTAAAATAGCATCCATTTCAACATGTTCAAATTATTCAGGCTTGCACACTGAATTGTGCACATTTGCAAACTAATGTTACTTTCACAGACAAGTTTCTTCATTTTTCCTTTTTATTTTTCCAGCCATTGCATTAATAAATGTTAGATTCTAGTAAGAGATATTTTTCTGCATTGTTTTTGTGCTTCTCAGCTTCAAACTACTATTCCTGAGATGTTTTCTGTTTATAAATGTTTTAGATCAGCCTTTTTTATTTTTCTTAAGGTCAGCCTTTTTAATGTTGTGTACCTGTAATGGTTTTGAAAGCAGCAGGTATAAAATATGTTAGTCTTCTTTTTGGTTTTACAAAGTCATTTTTAACTTTGGTTTGGTTATATATGAGTAATTTTGCTGGGTCTTGTTTTAGTTTGTCGTTAAGAAGCAAGTAATGGCTCATTTTTAAAAATATGTTTACCTATTCAAAAATGCTAGTCTCTATTAAAAGACATTCCAGTATACTCAGTGTAACCCATCTAAAGTTATTATTGTTCTTTTTCAGTCTTGGAGTAGAATGTTAACGTAAAGAGAGTGTATAGAGTGATGGTTAGGAACACTGTGAAGCCAGGCTGCATGGATTCAAATCCAGGCTTAATCCAGCCTAGCTGTGTGACAAGTCATTTAACCTCCCCAGGGTCTTAGTTTCCCCACTTATAAAATGGGAATAATAATAGTAGGTCATAGGGCTGTAGTAAGAATTAAATGAGTTAACATTTATTTTTTTATTTTCTTTAAAAAAAATTTTTGGGGGGCGCCTGGGTGGCTCAGTCGTTAAGCGTCTG